CAGAGATTAATTTAAATATAAACGTCATATATTTTGCTCAAGAGATAAAAATTGTTGTACATTAGTGTACAGTACTGTAGTACATTTTATAAAAAAGTTTTTCAACTGTATTTTTGGGTAGATTTACATAGATTTCTTCATTTATTTTCATCCATTTACATGCACACACCATACTAAAAGAAACTTAATAGAAATAAATTACCTTAGTGCAAAGCTGGAGTGCACATGTGCTAATTTGATTACGGTACTAAAATTTTTTTGTCTAGTGCAAATTACAGCATGTTTATATTCAAATTAATCAGTATGTGACAAGAATCCCAGCAATGTTAATTATATTCACCCAGGTCATTTCACTGGCTTTTTATATGAGAGGAGCTTGGTCACTTAAGAACTGATAAATGTACATGCATTAGATCTGGGCCTGTGCCAACTGTCAAACGTACTACCTCCCCTCCCTCCACACCTCCCACCCCCTCGCTCGCTCCCCCCCTCCCTCCACACCCCCCACACCCTCGCTCGCTCCCCCCTCCCTCCACTTCCCCCACCCCCTCGCTGGCTCCCCCCCCTCCCTCTCCCTCATCTGCCCGGCGTTGCTGGAATCCTTGTAAAACATTGAATAATTTTAATATAAACGTCATGTATTTTGCACAAGAGATAAAAATTAATCACCTGTATCACATTACAGTAGTGATTTAAGAGTAAAAGTGTATATGTACGTATATAGTATTCCACATACACGTAAGTATAAATACAAAGTTTCTGTGATGATCGGACAACGTCCATTTCGGTTAATGTCATGTTTCCTAGGACGTTAACCGGCGCATATATATATATATATATATATATATATATATATATATATATATATATATATATATATATATATATATATATATATATATATATATATATATATATATATATATATATATATATATATATATATATATATACACACAGTATTACCCCACCTAACGCGGTTTCACTTAACGCGTTTTATCATATACGCGGTGCCTCGCCAGAGCTGAACTTTCACTTAACACGGATTTTTTCCACATATACGCGGTGAGTGTCCGGCTCGAGATGCTATTTTTAGATTTGCCCCACCCGCCACCCTGCCTGACTGCCTGTTTTAGCTCATAAAATTCATACAAATTACCCGGCCAGAATATAATTTACATTGCTGGAATTCTTATAATTTGGTGATCATTTTGAATATAAACATCATATATTTTGCATTAGACATACAAATTTTAGATAAAATTTTTTCTCAGAGTAACTATGTTATCTTTTGTGCAAAATATATGACATTTATATTCAAAATATTCCTGGTCTTACAAGGAATCCAGCAATGTCAATTATATTATCCTAACTTTAGTTTGAGGTATTATTTATTAAAATTTAGTGGTTATCCCACACATCTCCTTGGGACGGTTGGTGGGGGGTGGGGGGGAGGGAGGGACCGACCGACCATCTGTTACCCAGTGAAGAATTATTATTTTTTTTTATTAACTGAAGATATTTGTTTTAGCTCATAAAATTCATACAAATTACCCGGTCTGAATATAATTTACATTGCTGGAATTCTTATAATTTGATGATCATTTTGAATATAAACATCATATATTTTGCATTAGACATACAAATTTTAGATAACAATTTTTCTCAAATTAACTATGTTATCTTTTGTGCAAAATATATGACATTTATATTCAAAATATTCCTGGTCTTACAAGGAATCCAGCAATGTCAATTATATTATCCTAACTTTAATCTGAGGTATTATTTAATACTAAATGTTAAAAACCCTGGAAGGGAGGATTGGTGGGGGGTGGGGGGGAGGGTTGGGACTGACCGCGCGGTTGGAAGAGGAGGGGAGGCAAGGTGGGGTACTTTGATTGACAGATAGTGTCGTGAAGATTATTTTTTTTTTTATTAACTGAAGATATTTGTTTTAGCTCATAAAATTCATACAAATTACCCGGTCAGAATATAATTTACATTGCTGGAATTCTTATAATTTGGTGATCATTTTGAATATAAACATCATATATTTTGCATTAAACATACAAATTTTAGATAAAAATTTTTCTCTAGGTAACTATGTTATCTTTTGTGCAAAATATATGACATTTATATTCAATATATTCCTGGTCTTACAAGGAATCCAGCAATGTCAATTGTATTATCCTAACTTTAGTTTGAGGTATTATTTATTAAAATTTAGTGGTTTTCCCCCAAAAATTTCTCTGAGAGGGAAGAGCCGGCAGTGTAGTGTGAGAGGGGGAGGGAGTTGAGTCCATTATTTGAATGGACATTAACTTGGTGACTGTATTTCTCTATTTCTCTTAAGTATTAATTGTGTGCATGTGCCATCATAAAATTAAGATGTTATTTTTACTACAACATAGCTATGTGCCTTCAAAAAGTGGAGTTTGGGGGTCGGGCCGGTTTCTATTGGAATTAATCCCATATGTTCTGTTGTTCACTTAACGCGGATTTCACTTAACGCGGGACCCTCTGGGTTCTATTGACCGCGTTAAGTGGGGTACAACTGTATATATATATATATATATATATATATATATATATATATATATATATATATATATATATATATATATATATATATATATATATATATATATATATATATTGTATTTCTGTGTGTGTGTGTCTTACACAATATTAAAACAATTCTTAAAAATGTTTTGAAGCAGCATCCCCAGGAATGAGAGTCACGAGCCGCCTCTGATAACGACAGTAATGAAATGCGACACCTCAACACATTAACGATATATTTCAACACAATAACGATCAGTAGCACAGGTTGATAATCACTTTGGGCAGCCATCTTGATGACATCAGAGAGTGGGTAGGTTTGTTTTGATCAGAGTGTGTGAACAGGAGGTGTAGTGTAATCTACTCACTTATCTGTGATAGTATTGCATAACCTCTCTACCTGTGTGTGATCTGTTAGATGATTTACCACTCGACTTCACTGGCCTTGAGACTGGATCAGTTGGTGGTGATGCTGGGGAAGCAGCACAGTGTGGGGGCAGGGGGGCACTAACACCACTCCCTGCCTTGGATGACAGCAAACAGTCTCGTTAAGCAGTTCAGTGAATGTCTAAAGGTTAGTTAGGATTAGTTATTAAACTCTACATGTGTGAATAAGTGGTTGTAATATTTTGTGAGGTTATGGGGGGTGACAGTGTCTGAGGGCTGGTACCAATTGATCCATTCAGCATGTAAAATTTACTCACCACATTAATGATTTTCATTTTAATGACCTTTTTTGTGGTACTAATTACGATAATATCTCCGTTAGCCGTAATCCCTCAAACCTAGAACTCTCCGATGGCCAGAATTGAAATTTTCTCGGAAAATTGTTCCCAAAGCCGGAATTTTCTGGAAAATTCCGGGTTTGGGAACGATTTTCCGAGGGCCACATGTTCCGGAAAATTCTGAGAAAATTTTCCCGATACCCGGAAAATTCCGGGGATGGGGGAGTTTTTTTCCTGTTTTGAATGATGAAAATTAGGTTCAATTTCTGGAAAATCTGAGAAAATTTTTCCGTTACCCAAAAATTCAGAGGATGAGGGATTTTTGTTCAAGTTGAATGCGACGTCAGCAATGCTACAAAGGTATGTTAATTCCTAGCCAATTCACCAGGCCAACATACAGGCAATTAAAACATCTAATAATTACTTAATAAGTAATATTAGGAGGACTCGTCGCTACTTGGCATTTAATTGCAATTCTCAAACCCCCTCGTTCACCCCACACTATGCGCATCAAGAACCTCATCTCTTGCCTGGCAATTCAGCTATAATACACACAAAGGGAAGCTCCGCGAATTTGTGTTCTAATTGCTGAAATACTCACCTCCGCGAGGATATTATATACGGTATTTGTACTTAATAGCACAGTGATGAAGTAGAGTGACTTTTATTTTGTTATGTCTCTCATTTATTGTATTTGGGACATTTTCTTATACGACTTTGGGTCAGCATGGCGACCAAAACACATTTTCTTTGTGAGTCGTTTAGATCGTTGTGACTATCCCTTGCCTTTAAGTCACTCAGTGAATGTCGCTGCACCCTCCCGGGCTCGTCTTCACTAAAAGAGACTATGTGAATATATCTATTTATATATATACATATATATGTATATTGTTTTCGATCTCTTTGTCCCAATTATTCACGTGCTAATATGAATACAATGACTATCTCTCTCCCTACTCTTATGTTCGTTCACAAAAACCTTTGGGCTTCTGCCCTTGGGTTTCTATATGTTCTCAGCAAAAAGGCCAGAGTTGAGTTTGACTCTTCATAACTTTATTTTTTTATGTCCTCAGTAGCGGGTTCAGCCTTTCGAGGCGAACTTTAGCGAGGCTGCTAGACTTAGCGTTCCTTCCGGAATGATGACCTTCCGGTCTTACTAGCAATCTAGAGTTATGTTGAAATGGACTTTACACCTTCTATGGGTTATATGAGACCAACTCAGGGTGGATTTCTCAACCTAATAAATATTGCTAGAGTAACAGTGAACGTTGCTGCCAATAGAGCGCTATGTTAGCGTCTCAGCACTGTCAACCCTGCCGGGTGATAGTGCGCAAGTAGGAATTTTCCCTTAAAGTGTTTACTCGGGGGATAATTTCTGTGCCCCTGATTGGCATCAAATAAAGATCTTGATGATCCCTCTTAATAAATGTTCTGAATGAAATTATTTTATAAAAACAAATTTAAATAAATAAGTTTCATTGAGCTAAGGGATACTCGATATAAGAGTCGGGAGACAGATACGAAATAGTGAGTTATTGTTTATATTTGTCATGTGAGTGACTTGTATAGCAATAAGAGATCTTAATAACTTACGAATAATATAACATGTATGAGTCATATTGATTAATTTGGGAGAAAATGCTTTCTCCCTTATTAATTATTATTATTATTTTGTGTTATAATAATATAATGTGACTCATGGTGTCCTCCTAGTTTAGATGAGTGATGTGCAACTGGAGGATGAAGGTCAGGAGTCCGGGCCTATGGATAATGGAGGAGACTATGGAACTGTCCCTCAGGAGATACTATTGAGTGATGAGCTACAAGGACTAGAAAGTTCAGCTCAGGCACTACATTCAAGGAATTGTCTGTCAGTAGAGAATTTGAATTCAGTAGTAGTAGTTTCACCCGAGACCCAAGGGGACCATACTACACGTAATTATAAAAAATGTAAAGTGACTTGGATTACTAAGATAGATCCTCATGTGGCTTGCATAATTCATGGCAGCTGTGTCTCAGATAACCTATTTTCACCAATGAATTGTGCAGTTTGTTATGATCAAATTTTTCAATTTCATCAAGCTACAGGTGATAAGTAAGATTTATTGCAATTACAAATTAAAAATAGGTGGAATAAGGCCTTGAAGAGTAAATTTTTGAATGTACGACAATGGAAAGATCCCAAGTTGGCAGAAAGTTTAGGTTTATTGGTGTTAGGTAAAAGACTTAATCCCCACTTAGACAAGACTGCTTCTGCTACGAAAAATAAGTTATTGGACCCTCCAGACAGTGAAGCAGTAGGAAGTCTACAAAAACCTCTTTCTACTCAATCTGATTTCAGTGGATTCCAGGATCAGGACGATGAGCCTGGTTCTAATCATAGTATCAAGTCACTTGAGCAGGAAGAACCTGTTGAGACTGACTTCATCCTATCCACATCTTGGCAACCACTTCCACCTGGGCCAAAAGTGTTGGTTACTGCGAGTGGAAACAGGCTGCTGTCGACTAACATGCAGCTGCTGGATAATATTGAGTGTAAGGTTGATTCTAACAGGCCATGGATAACATTGGTAAGAGCTAAGTCTTCTTTGTTTACTACTCCATCTGAATCTGTGGATTCCTTATTCAAGTTATTTTATGAAAATGTCTCTAAGCTTCCTGATATCTCAGCAACTACAAAGGGAGAGGAAGGACCTGCAACTTTGGGTCATAATTCTTTGTTTTTGGAGGGTGATCCTACACCTTCTTGGCCTGATATTTGCCCAAAGATGATCTCTGAAATAGACGAAGTCTGGGCTAATTTATTGAAAAACTTAACATTCATTCCCGCTGACAGGAATGCTCACAATTTTAGTTTTTTGAAGTTCCAATTTAATGCCGAAAAGAGTTCCTTATATGATCTTTCCCAATATTTGTCGGCTTCAAAATATGTTGATATAAGTTATGAAAAAAATTTGAAACCAGTTGCCCCTGGACAAATGTTTTGCTGCTGCTCTACAAGGAATCCCATATTCCCTGTACAAATCATTTTTAGATCATTTGTTGAAAGCCCTAAGACTGAAAATCCAGCTAAGGAAACAAACAACAAATAATGCTTCAAGTGGTAGTGCTTATTTGTTGATACGTTCTTCACCTCGTTCTCCTGCTTTGTTTGGTGAGCAATAATTGATTAATTATAGATAATCTTTGGAGAATACTATTAATATTAATGTCCCCAGGAGTCCTCAGACCTTTCAGAAACCTAGGAGAGGAAGGTTTTACAGGGGAACAGGACCAGCTGCCTGGGTCGGTTATCAACCTAGGGGAAATTTTAGAGGAGGAAATAATCAAAGACGTAATAGAGGTGGCTGTTTGTTCAGAAACGGACGGAGACCTTATTCCACCACCTCAGCAACTTCCCCCTTCCAATGAAGCCAGACAGCTGGGTCGTCTAGGGGGTTGGGAGAACAGATGGACTTCTTCCATATGGGCTTACAAGACAATCAAAGGGGGTCTCACATGGACTTGGTTGAGGCGCCCTCCCCTAACATTCCCAAAGAAGGGTCAAAAACCAACCCCATTACTTACAAAATTTGTAAGTTAACTACTAAACAGAGGTGTCATAGAACCGTTGCAGTCAGAGAAATGCTTCATGTTTCGCCTATTCCCAGTCCCTAAGAAAGGCAGCGACAAATTAGGGTAGATTTTGGATCTTTCAATCCCAAACAAATTTATTCCCAAAAGAAGTTTCAAGATGCTCACTTATGACCATCTGAGGCATCTTAATCCGCCCAATGCTTGGATCTCAAAAGTGGATCTCGAAGATGCCTATTATCACGTTCCTGTTGCTCCCAGGTACAGAAAATTTCTGGTGTTCAAAGTAGGGGAATTAAGTTATCAATTCACAGTGATGCCATTCAGTCTGACAATTGCACCAAAAGTCTTTACAAAACTGGCACATATTCCTAGAAAGATCCTTGCAAAGGAGGGCATAAGAACCTTTGCTTATCTAGACAATTGGCTGATAAAGGGAAACTCTTTCGAAGATTGTCAAAGGGTGACCCAACGCACACTAGTACTATTTCAAAACCTTGATTTAAAGATAAACCAGGTAAAATCAAATTTAATACCATGTCAAAAGTTGGATTGGTTAGGCCTCCACTGGGATACAAATCAGCAGACAGTCGGTTTACCAGGAACAAAAGTAACAGATTTGATAAACAAAGTAGAAGCCTTTTGTGTAAAGCACAAGGTTTCTTGGCACGATTGGGAAAAACTAATGGGTCTTGAATTTTGCCACAATAGTGGTTCCATTGGGAAAGTTAAGGAAAAAGCAACTATCTCATCTGGGCTCAAAGTTGCTTTGCAGAAACAGAAACGTTGCTTCTTCTCTTCCTATTCAGATAAAGAATCATCTGTTATGGTGGACAAACTGGGACAGTCTAATCGGTCCCTCTCCCTGGGTTCCACCTCAAACAGGTTTGGTCTTTTGTACGGATGCATCCAAAATTGGATGGGGATACCATTCTTCAAAAGGGGAATTCAATCAAGGGAAGTGAAGCAACTTCCTTTGGGACAAACACATAAATATAAAAGAATTAGCAGTGGTCCTATTCTTTTTGTCAGCAAACCCAAATTTACAAAATATGACGATCCTGTTTGCCGTGGACAACAAAACGGCAGTCTTTTGTCTCAATCATCAAGGGTCAACAAGGTCTTGGCCCCTTCTACAACTATCAGAAAAAATTTTCAGTGTTTGTGCAACACAAACACTTTACCTCAAAGCAACTTATATACCGGGAGTGCAAAACAATTGGGCAGATGCGCTGTCCCGTCTCCGGCCAGTATCGACAGAAACATAATGGTCCCTAAAGGTATCGGAGTTCAAGAGTCTAGTGAAGAAGTTTGGAACTCCACAGATAAATCTGTTTGCCTCCCTAACAAATCACAAGATGCCAATTTATGCATCTCTGGAAAGGTCAAATCTTTTAGGAAATGTCCTCTTAGATTGGAACCTTTGGAATTCAATCTATCTATTCCCACCTGTGAAAATATTGCTCAAAGTGGTTCACAAACTCAGATCCTTCCGAGGCAAAGTCCTCTTAATTGCACCATATTGGATCCTACAACCTTGGTGCCTGGATCTACTGGACTGGTGCCTGAATCCTCTACAATTGCAACAAGGATGTCTAGACCAGGTACTACATTCTCAGTTCGAGATATCCTTGGCACTTCACGCTTGGAGTTTCTCAAAAAAAATGTAAATACAGTTGTACCCCGCTTTACGCGGTCAATTGAACACACAGGGGACCGTGTTAAGTGAAAACCGCGTTAAGTGAACAACAGAACATATGAGATTAATTCCAATAGAGACTGGCCCGATCCCCAAACTCCACTTTTTGACGACACACAACTATGTTGTAGTAAAAATTTTATCTTAACTTTATGATGGTATGAACAAACAAGTAATATAGAAGAGGTTAGGTTAGGAAAAATAAAGGTTAAGTTAGGAAAAATATAGGTTAGGTTAGGAAAACTAAAAGTTAGGTGTAACACTTACATTAGAAGAAGAGATGGCTCGGCATACGGGGATGGAGGCGGAGGGGAGGGAGGAGGAGGAGGGAGAGGCGAGGCAGGCGGGAGCGGGTGGCGGGTGGGACGAATCTGAAAATAGCGTCTCGAGCCGGACACTCTGCGCGTATATGGGTAGATGAACTGCATTAAGTGAAAGTTCGGTTCTGGCGAGGCACCGCGTATATGAGAAATCGCATTAAGTGAAACCGCGTAAAGTGGGGTACAACTGTAGTTTGTTGGGTAGTTCCAATATAGCTAATCAAGTATTAGCAGGTCATAGACCCCAAACTTCTATTCAATATGAGAAAGCTTGGAATCTTTTTCAACAATTTATCAAGTTAACAACTCCAGAATCATTATCGGAAATAGTTGTGTTAGAATTTTTAGAATTTCTGTCCAGAGTTAAAGGCCTTCAAGGATCGACAATTGCATCTTATAAATCAGCGTTGGTTGACCCTTTGGCTTGGGGTTTTAATATTACTTTGAACCCAAGGATTTATCAAATGCTAAGATAGTCCTTTTTCATTCAGAGATCTCCTCGACCCAAGAGAATCCCGCCTTGGTCTCTGGAAAAAGTTACTATCTTCTTATGGGGCCTAATTACAATATAAATCTGAACAGGGATAAATTACTCCAGAAGGCAGCTTTCCTTCTAGCATTAGCAACGGGTATGAGAATCAGTGAACTGATTTCAATTTTCATTAATCCATCATTATTGGTATTTTCTCATGAGGGTGTTATCATTTTTCCTACGGAGATCCTAAGAAAAAATGAAAGGGAAGATTTGCAAGCTCAACCTATAAGGATAAAACGTCTAATTGATGAAACGAGGATTCCTCACATATTGTGTCCAGTTAGAAATCTTCAGTAATAGTTAACCAGATTCCCTTATAGAGGCTCTTATGTTTTCTCATCAAGGGATGGTAAGAAATTATCTCCTAGTCAATTGGCAAAATCCTTTTCTCAATTAGTGAATCAAGCAGACCCTGGCAAAAAATTTTTGGCACATGACATTAGGAAATATGCAGGGTCTGTGGCCTTTCTGCAGCATATGAATCTCAGTCAGATCAAGGAAATGGGCTTTTGGAGATTCAAAAACTTTAAAAGACAGCTATCTTCATCTATCTCTGAGAGATACTTCAAATGTGGTGGTGCTGGGTTCACCTCCCCCATCTAGTCA